CGATGGTCCCAAGACGGCCCAAGATGCTCCCGAGACGGCCAAAGAGGCCTCCAAGAAGCCTCCCAAGAGGGCCTCACGAAGCAAAAATCAATGATGTTCCTAACGTTTTTCAAGGTTTTGGCCTTCTCGCCTCTTCGACTTTCCGACGCTCCGAGACGGACCAAGAGGTTCCCACGATCGCCCCACGACGGCCCTAGAAGCTCCCTTGACGGTCCAAGAGGCCCCCAGGACAGCCCCAAGAAAGCCGAAGAGGGCCCCAAGACGGTCCAGGAGGCGCCCCAGACGGCCCACTAGGGCTTTGAGACGGTCCCAAAAGAGGCCCAAGAGGGAGTCCACGAACTGAAAACTCTACCTTTCCGCCCCGAGAGGGCCCGACGAGGCCCCAAGAAGGTTCCAAGAGGCGCCCGAGAGGCCCCCGAGAAGACCCCAAGAGGCCCCAAGGAGACCCCCAAGAGACCCAAAATGTGCCCCAAGAGGCTCCAAAACGGCTTCCAAGAAGCTTCAGCAATGACCCGCAGACGCTGCCGAGAAGCCTGCCACGAGAAGCAACCACGGCGCTATCAGATGCGCAACTAGATCGCTCCAAAACGCCCAGGATGCCCTCCCTCCTTCCTCCTCATCGCCCGCCCCCCCCCCCCCCCCCAGCAGCCCTCTGGTCCTCCTTCGAATCCAACCGCCTGAGCAAGCACCCACGACGCTGCCCGCGCAGCCGCCCGCACCACTAGTACCAGGCGGGCCGGGCGGCAGAGGCCGAAGCCCTCGAGATACAACGCAGGCAACCATCGCTCAAAAACTGCGCAGACGATCGCCGGAGAATCGCCCCCAGACTGCCTGTGGTGAACAATGCTCGAATGCGCCCCTTGTCGCGGGACCCGCCCGAGGCAACGCGAGAGGCCGAGGCCGTGAGGGCGGGCTCCCTGCTCGGCGTGCGGCCCCCGCCGCCCGCACGCCGCCGCTCTCTCCGGCGCCCGCTCTCGGCACCGCGTGCCTTCGATACCACCCGTGCGCGGGCATCCGCAGATAACTCGCCAGCGGCGTGGCTGCGCCTTGGGCCGGGAGAGCTCGGAGAGAGCTCCTCCCTGCGGTGGGGGCCCGCGCCGAGAAGCACCCCAGTTGCCTCCAGGGTGCCCCGGGCTTCTCGGGTGTCGCGGGCTTTGCTGTGGAGAGCGTGGCGTTCCCGCACCGAGGCTCAGTGGACGCCCTGGGGACTCGGAGTCGGGTTTCTTGTGGAAGCTTTCTTGTGGACTGGCCTCCACTGTATCACTCCCTTCGTCCTCTATCTTCCCCCTGAGTTATTACTCCCCTCGCCCTCGCCCTTCCTCTGCCCCTCCCCCCGTCCCTCGTCACTCCCCCCTTCCATGCCCCTCCTCCCCCTCCCTGTCGCCCTTCCCATCCTCTCCCTCCGCCTCCCAGAAAGGTCCCCATACGTCTGCAGAGGCCTGACGAAGAGCCGAGAGCGTCCGAGAACGCGGCTCCTCGCTCCTGCTCGCCCGCAGACGTCCGACTGAAACATGCTTCAACCCGCGGGCCACAAAGGCTTGATCCATTCCACGTGGGGCAGCATGACTTCCCAGACGAATGCTTGAGTTGCCCTCGCGCCACAGAAGGCCCGCCCCCCCCCCCCGAGGCCGAAACGAGGGAGGAACTCCAGGATTGACAAAAATCCGACCCTTTGGACACCCGAAATGGGTACCAAAAGAATGTGTACAATGCCCAGCAACAAATGTTGTCCCAAACCAACAGCGGCCGCTGTTGGGCAGGCGGCCTCCTGTCTCGAATGGACACCAGGCCGAGGCGGCGCGGACAGCGAGCCCTGCTCGAAATGAAAAGGAACTGCTGTTGGGCATTGCACCCATCCTTCCCGCGCCCACTTCGTTCGTGCAGAGACCCGCCCGGGCGAGCATCTGAGCGCCCGGCAGTCCCGGACGGCGTCTATGAAGGGGCCCCAGGACACACAAATAAATACACACAAATAAAAATGTTCCCCATATTTTCCCATATTTTCTGGGTTTCTGTCTTCCCCCCCCCCTTCCCATATTTTCCCATATTTTCTGGGGAATCGAGGATTAATTGTGTCTGTGTGTTTTTTCCTCTCCTGAGTCTGGTGCGTCTGGCCTCCAGGGCCACGGCCGTCCCCCACGGGCCGCCGCCCCCCGGGTCGGGGCCCACGGGTCCGCCGAGGACCTCCCGCTCCGAGAGCGCAGAGGGGCCCAGGGACACACACAGGAGTAGACACGTATCCCAGGATTCCCCATAGTTTCCTATGTGTTCTAGCTTTTCGTCTCCCACGCTAGGGAGGGATAGGCTCAGGGTGAGGTCGGGCATCCCCCCCTGCAGCGGGCTCTGGACGAAATCAAGAAACAATCCCCGATAATCCCCTAAAATGATTACTAATACTCCACAAATCATCTCATCCCCTGACTATTATCTCGCTAGTTGCTTATATATTCCCCTTTGAGGGACAGCCCGACTTAACGCCTGGGTGGGGGGGGAAAGGAGGTAGGGGGGAGGGATAGGCTCAGGAGCGGGAAGCAGGGAAGCATCGCCCCCCCAGGGGCCCGCTCACCGCCGACAGGGGAAACTGATGTAGCCCGCCGTGGGATACGCTGCCCTCGGGGGCCCATCGCCGATCTATCGACGATGGACGTTGATTCCAGATCGACGTTTCCTCGGGAGCGCGTAAACCATGGATTAGCGATCAATGGATTTGCGCGCAGTCGCCAATCCATGGATCGGGGGAGGTGCCCTCCCCGAATGCGGCCGGTCCGCTCCTTCGGCGCGGGAAATACGCGATGTCCCATTGAAACGGGGACCGCGTCGCTTGTCCCGGCCCCCTTCTCCATGTTTGCGATCGCCTGATTTTCCCCCCTGAGCTGGTCCCCCCAAACCTTCCCCCTCAATCCCTGGCGGCGCGCACAGGGGAGTAGGGGGAGGGGGGAAGGCTGCTTAGAGGGAGGCTGCTTCTTGGGAGGCGTCGGCCCTGGATCCACAGACCGGGCCCACGCCTTCTGAGAAGGGTGCTTCTGAGAAGCCTCCCCCCCGCCTCGTAACCCCACCTCTGCGCGTGGCCGAAATGCTCCTCCTCCTCCTCCTCCTCCTCCTCCTCCTCCTCCTCCTATCTGCCTCCCTCCTCCGCCTCCGCCTCACTCGCAGCCCTCGCCCTTCCCTCTGGCCCCTCCCCCCGTCCTCGTCCACTCCCCTTCCATGCCCTCCTCCCCCTCCCTGTCAGCCTTCACATCCTCTCCCTACCGCCTCCCAGAAATGTCCCCATACGTTCTGCAGAGGCCTGACGAAGAGCCTAGAAGCGTCACGAGACCTGCGCCTCTCGCTGCCTGCTCCGCCCGCAGACGTCCGACTGAAACATGGCTTCACCCGCGGGCCACAAAGGCTTGATCCATTCCACGTGGGGCAGCAGACTTTCCCAGACAATGCTTGAGTTGCCCTCGGCGCCACAGAAGGCCGCCCCCCCCCCCCGAGGCCGAAACGAGGGAGGAACTCCAGGATTGACAAAAATCCGACCCTTTGGACACCCGAAATGGGTACCAAAAGAATGTGTACAATGCCCAGCAACAAATGTTGTCCCAAACCAACAGCGGCCGCTGTTGGGCAGGCGGCCTCCTGTCTCGAATGGACACCAGGCCGAGGCGGCGCGGACAGCGAGCCCTGCTCGAAATGAAAAGGAACTGCTGTTGGGCATTGCACCCATCCTTCCCGCGCCCACTTCGTTCGTGCAGAGACCCGCCCGGGCGAGCATCTGAGCGCCCGGCAGTCCCGGACGGCGTCTATGAAGGGGCCCCAGGACACACAAATAAATACACACAAATAAAAATGTTCCCCATATTTTCCCATATTTTCTGGGTTTCTGTCTTCCCCCCCCCCTTCCCATATTTTCCCATATTTTCTGGGGAATCGAGGATTAATTGTGTCTGTGTGTTTTTTCCTCTCCTGAGTCTGGTGCGTCTGGCCTCCAGGGCCACGGCCGTCCCCCACGGGCCGCCGCCCCCCGGGTCGGGGCCCACGGGTCCGCCGAGGACCTCCCGCTCCGAGAGCGCAGAGGGGCCCAGGGACACACACAGGAGTAGACACGTATCCCAGGATTCCCCATAGTTTCCTATGTGTTCTAGCTTTTCGTCTCCCACGCTAGGGAGGGATAGGCTCAGGGTGAGGTCGGGCATCCCCCCCTGCAGGCGGGTTCTGGACGAAAAATCAAGAAACAAATCCCCGAATAAATCCCCTAAAATGATTACCAATACTCCACAAATCATCCCCTGACTATTATCTCGCTAGTTGCTTATATTCCTCCTGTAGAGGGACAGGCCCGACTTAACGCTGGGGAGGGATAGGCTCAGGAGCGGGAAGCAGGGAAGCATCGCCCCCCCAGGGGCCCGCTCACCGCCGACAGGGGAAACTGATGTAGCCCGCCGTGGGATACGCTGCCCTCGGGGGCCCATCGCCGATCTATCGACGATGGACGTTGATTCCAGATCGACGTTTCCTCGGGAGCGCGCAAACATGGATTAGCGATCAATGGATTTGGCGCGCAGTCGCCAAATCCATGGATCGGGGGAGGTGCCCTCCCCGAAATGCGGCCGGTGCCGCCTCCTTCGGCAGCGGAAATCCGCGATGTCCAATTGAAACGGGACCCGTCGCTTGTCCACGCCCCCTTATCCATGTTTGCGATCGCCTGATTTTCCCCCCTGAGCTGGTCCCCCCAAACCTTCCCCCTCAATCCCTGGCGGCGCGCACAGGGGAGTAGGGGGAGGGGGGAAGGCTGCTTAGAGGGAGGCTGCTTCTTGGGAGGCGTCGGCCCTGGATCCACAGACCGGGCCCACGCCTTCTGAGAAGGGTGCTTCTGAGAAGCCTCCCCCCCTCCTCGTAACCCCACCTCTGCGCGTGGCCGAAATGCTCCTCCTCCTCCTCCTCCTCCTCCTCCTCCTCCTCCTCCTCCTCCTCCTACTCTGCCTCCTCCTCCGCCTCCTCCTCCTCGCAGCCCAGGGGGCCCGTCTGGCCCGGCCGACACCAGCTTCTCCAGCGCGCGGGACGCGGCGACGATCTGCTGCATGGGCACCTCGAGACGCACCGCCAGGGAGCGGCCATCATCTGAAGGGGCCCTGGGACACACAAATTCGCCGGCCCAACGGGCCAGAGGCTTGCTAAGATCTCCGGTAACTACTTAAGAATATTTCTAGTTCGCGCGCGCGGGGCGGCCCCTGGGGGTCCCCCGGCGAAAAGTACCCCGACCGCAGCCCGGGAAGGTCTACTCAGAGATGGTTGCGCTCCTGGGTACCGCCTCTCAGGCCCCCCAGAGCGCGCCAGGAGGGCCCCAAGAGGCCCCCAAGACTGCCCAAGAGGCCCTCGAGACGCCCAAAGGACGCTCCAAGACGCCGAAGATGATCCCAAGACGGCCCAAGAAGCCGCCAAGACGCTCCAAGTGGCCTCCAAGAGGCCTCACAAGAGCGCCCCGAGAGGCCAAAATCATCAATTTTACGATGGTTTTGGAAGGATTTTGGCCTTGTCGCATTTTCGGCTTTCCGATGCTGCAAGACGGCCCAAGAGGCCTCAATAGCGCACGAAGACGGCTCAAGAGGCCCCCAAGGAGGCCCCCAGAGAGCCCAAACGGGCCCCGAGACGGCCCAAGAGACGCCCAAGACGGCCCAAGAGAGCCCCAAGACGGCCCCAAGAGGGGCCCAAGATGGGGACCACGAACCGAAACCTCAAGCCTTCCGCCCCAAGAGGGCCCCAGGAGGCCCCGAGAGGCCCCCAAAATGGCCCAAGATGCCGCCAAGAGGCCCCCAAGAGACCCCAGGAGGCTCCAAGGAGGCTCAAAAGAGGCCCTACAAGGCTTCAAAAATGTCTCCCAGGCGCCCCCGAACGGCCTCTCAACAGACCCCAGGGCCTCCCAAAGAAGCATCTGGACGACAGCCCTGTTTGGCCCCAAGAGCGCCACAAAATGCCATCGAGAGGCTTCCTCTTCCGCCATTTCCTCTTCCTCCTCCTCCTCCTCATCATATTTATCTTCATCCTCCTCCGTTCCTTCTCATCCTCTTCTCCACCTCCCCTCTCCCTCCCCATCCTCATCTTCCTCCTTCCGGCGGCGCCGAAATGGCCCCGAGCCCGCGCCGAAGCAGTAGCGATCATGCAATACGGGCCGGCGGAGTAAGCGAAGCGATTGAATAAACAGGCACAAATCTTAGCATTCCCCATATGTACCAATAGATTCTGGAGTTTTCGTCTTCCCCCCACTTCCCAGATGCTTCAAAATCTTCCTGGGAGTCGACGAGTAATTGTGCCTGTGATTACCCCCTCCTTTAGTTAGATTCGTCCGCCAGCGCAGACGACCCTTACCTAGCCACCGACGCAAAAAATAAGTTCCCCTCCAGAACTTCCTCAAGATCACCAGACTCCAGCGAATCGTGAAACATTCATGACGGAAGGCTTTTGACATGTTCGGCCTCTGGGTGGCCTCCGTCGGCCCGGGGGGGCCGTCGAAAAAAAGGCCCGGGACGAAACACTGGATCCTGGAGAGACCTCTGGGCTTCCAAGCCAGAAAAAACCTGGCGTCTGGGATCTTGATTCGAAGGCCGAGGTTCAGGGTGGCTACGGCTAGATTAGATTCCATCTGAGGTTCTGGAGGGGTCTGCGGATCGATGCCTGCCGCCTGGTCCCAGACCTCCGCCGTCTTCCAAAGCCTTCTACGTCGGCCTCTGGGGGGGGCACGTCTGGACCCCCAGGCAACAATTAAGAGACGATCCAGGACGAAAATCCAGTCCCCAGGAGGGGGTCGAAAGGGACTGGGGAGCCCGTATGGACCACAATAAAAAGCACATCCGTTCTGGCCTGGACCCCTGGGGAGCCAAGGTTTAGGCACCTTCCCGAGCGCAGGGGCGGAGACGCATCCGCCTCCTCGTGAGAGCTCGGCAGCCAGAGAAGCATAAGAAGGATGTTCGGCGGCGAGCACGGGGGGGGAAATAAGAAGGAGAAGGAGACGGCCTTCGTACAAGACTCGGAAGTCACCCAGCCTTCTGAGAAATGTTCTGAGACTGCCTGGACGACACGGACAGCTTCTCAATGGAGGGCTTCTGAAAAGTCCCGCCACTTCCCCCCCCTCGCTCGCGGCCGAGGTGTGTATGTAGATAATTTCCCTGGGTCGCCAAACTCTTCGCGCGCCGCGCCCCGCGATGGGCGACGCGCGATTTGTCCCCGCGCCCATGCGCCGCCGCCCACGAGGAGGGCACCTTGGCGGCCAGAGGCAGACGGTGGTCCGGGGTGGTGGGCCCATCCGAAGACGAAGCCCAAACGAGGGCAAGATCGGGCGGGGATAGATCGAGATTATCTGAGATCCAGCGGCTCTGGAGGTTGTCTCGGGCGCCGCGGCCTTTTCAGAGCGTTCCAGAACGCTCTGAGAGCGTTCCGGAACGCTCTGAAACGAATGCACCCTCGCCCTAGCCACGTTCGACATCCTGAATGCCTATCGGGTGGTGGTGGTGGTGGTGTTGGTGCGCTTCCTGCTCCCAAGGCTGCAGGGCGGCGGACATGGGGGACACGCCTGCGGTGGAGACCAAACGCACCAAACGCCATCAGGGAAGGCTGCCGGGACCCGAGCAGGCAACGCCGGGAACCGCCAACAGATTGGCGGCGCGCAGGGGGGGGGATCCGAACATGCTCGCGTCGTGAAAACATCCGGGCGGGAGGTCTTCTACTACGTTTCGGCCTCGGGGGCCCTCGCCGGGCCCCAAGACCGTCAAACGACGACTCGGGACGAAAAACTGGCCCCAGGGAATGGGTCGGGACTCCTGGGGACCGCGTAATGAAGACTTCCGGTCGTCGTATGTCTGCGAAGGGGGAGGGAGGAAGGCCACTCAGAAGGAAACTGCTTCTTAGAAGGCGCGGGCAGCAGTCTGGAAAAATAGGCCTGGCAACGGTTGACACAAAAAAACAATGCAACGGCAATCACCGTAACATTGGCGGTATGCAATAGCAGCAAGTAGCAGTAGCATGACTATCGGTAAAAGCATCAGCGTTGTGTTTGAGCAGTTGAGAGCGATTGCCATATGCCCCTCTCGAGTCCGTCTACTGGCGGAGGGCGCATCACCAGTAGTCATAGCTCCTGCCTGCTTCCAGGCCAAAGCTCATCTGTGTTCAAATCTAAATAATTTGCTTTTGCTAAAGCATATGCTTCCGCTGGAGTGTATTTGTCTCCATAAAGCAGTGTCAGATTGATGCGACGATTCTCATACCCAGGCTTAAAATCGATGTCGTCCGTCTTATGCACATACTGGCTGTTGAACAGAACCATTCTGTTCTCGCGGTATGGCACCCGGACAAGCTCTGCATCTTCGATGAACGCCAGCATGTCCTGAAGGCCCTCGTCTGAGTTGTACCTGTCAAAGTCCCATTCGAGCGGCACCTTCTTCTTAAAGACGTCTAAGCCGCCTCTCCCTTTCAACTGATTTGCGTGGTCTGGCGTCAACCATAAGTTGCAGTTGACAAGGGCCATGTCTGCATGGTACTGGATACCAGCATTCTTCTTGTTGTCGTATTTGTAGGCCCACGCCTGCGTCACATTCTGGCCTTGTGTTGCCTTGGGCAATGCGGCACCAAGCTCTGCAGCAATCTGAGCGATGATGGGAGCACTGAAACCGTCTTCAGAATAGCTGCCGACATAGCCACGCGCCTTTGCATCGAAATAGATTGTGCTGTGAACGGCCCAGTTCCGGACGTAATGGAGTGCCTCCTCTGTGAGAAGATTGTCGATGACGATTACATCGCCAGTCGCAAAAGCGGTCTCGAAAGCTGCCCACTCCGAGGGATCCCGTTGAGCGAGCACCTGCTTAGGCAAACGATCACCATCTGCCAGATAATGTAAACGCCCATACATGGGATCTATAGCTCGGAACGTATCGTCAGTCAATTGCACGTTGCCACCGTCGGGGAGCTGATTGGAGACGGCGCGAAACTTCTCTATCCATGTCTGATACTTCTCCTTCGGAAGCATGCCTTTGGCCACAAGAAACTCCAGCTGATCTGCATCGTGATCCAACTGCTGCCTGGATGCGACGCGGCCGGTGCTCGAGAGATGGTTTTTCCTCGACAAACTTCTCTCAGGTGAAGCATCGATGTGGCGCATGGACTCCACATTCTTCTGATCGTATTAGGTCGGGCATGTCCTCCTACAGGGGAACTCTGGGCGAAAACTGAAACATACTCCAGACAAATACCCCCAAAAGGGGCAGAACTAGCAACACAAATATTCGTCACCAAACTGTTTTATGACTATGTTTGAATGCTCCTCCTGTAGAGGGACAGGCCCGACTTCATGAGAAAAAAAAAGAAATACTCAAAGCATACCCGCAAACAAATACCCCCAAAAATACGCCCCCAGACGATTGTTTGACCACGCTTGAATATTCCTCCTGCGGAGGGACAGGCCCGACCTGAGGATAGTAGCGGAAGCCCGTCTCGACGTCGCCCTCGTTGATGCTCAGCGTGCCCAGGAGGCGCCAGCCAAGGTCGCAGTGCGACGAGAGCTGGTCCCCGAGCTGGAGCACCTGGCCTTGCTTCGGAGGCAACCACTGGGAGGCTTTCGTCGGAGGGGGAGGGGGAGGGGGAGGAGGAGGAGGAGGAGGAGGAGGAGGAGGAGGAGGAGGAGGAGGAGGAGAAGGAGGAGGAGGAAGGAGGAGGAGGAGGAGGCGGAGAAGGAGGAGGATGATGAGAGGAGGGGGAAGGGGGAGGAGGGAGGAGGAGGAGGAGGAGGAGGAGGAGGAGGACGGAGGAGGAGGCAGGAGGAGGAGGAGGAGGAGGAGGGGCTATTGCGCCGGAGTGGGCCTCGGGTTAAGCCAGATCAGGCGGGATTGAGCGGGACTGCGCCGGATCAAGCGGGACCAAGCGGGAGTAACCCGGATTTCGGACCAGGGCAAAATCAGAATTTGACCTCCCAGGAGTTGCATCCGAGCCTTGCAGCTCATAGCTCTCCTCGCAGCCAGGCAGATCTCCGCACGCGCTGCGCGGCACGACGAGGGAGGTCTCCCTGCGAGCCTCGGCGGCCCCGCGGCCACCAAAAGACCCCGGGTACTCCGCGTACACCTGGGCGGCGGAGGCGGCGAAGTAGCACCGCTCGTCCTCTGGCAGCCTCCAGGGGCCACTTGCGAACCCTCCCCCACCCTCCCCCTAAGAACGGGGCTGCACCTAAACGTTATGTGTCGTTTTGTTGTCCTTTGTCTTTCGTTTTGCTCTGCCTGATTTCCTGTGCCTCCCCCCCAAAAAGAAGAACAAAACACAGCCGAAGCCCAGTAAAACAGCGTTTAGGTCCAGCCCTGCCTCAGAAATCGGGGGGGGGTAGGGGCAGGGAGCGCATGTGGACCCCCGGCCTCGGCCACGTGATGATGTTGCGCCAGCGGGCTGCAGAGACGTTGCCTGGACCCCCAGGGCGGGCGAAGGCTGCAGCACGAGTGGCTTCATGATAGTCTTAGGTCGGGCATGTCCCTAGACAGGGGGGTTTTGGACGAAAAATGAGACACAATCCAAAAACAAACGCCAAAATGGTCAAAAATAATAAGGAAAACTTCCCGTAGAGGGAACAATGTAGAACATTGTCCAGCAGAGGGAAAAATACGCCAAAATGGTCTAAAATAATAATGGTCAAAAATAATAATGGAACACATAATATTATGTTTGAGACTATTCTCGAATATTCCTCCTGTAGAGGAACAGGCCCGACTTAAGGATAGTCTTGGAAGAAATCAGGGGGTATCTTGATGCGGTCCGCCCACGACTTGAATGTCCTGTCAAAGTGCTCCTCGGCTGCCGTGTGGGCCGTACGCTGCAGCAGAGCCTTGCCGCGATGCATGCCGGCATGGACGCAGTCGGGGAATCCCTTCAGGACCTTGGCGTAGAGCTTTGCAGATGTTTCGGGGTCATCCTGCTTCAGCATTGCCAGGAAAAATGCTGTCTTGGTACTCTTTGTGGTCTTCCACTCCTTGGCATAATGTCTCAGCATACTTTGTTTCTTTGTGAGTAGTTGAGTGTGGAAATCTTGCATCTCTTGCATCGTCGCTGGACAAGCAGAGACGATTGCAGGGCAAATCCATGGCTGCATCGCCAGGAGCACGGCAGCGACCCCCTGCAAGACAGCACCGAATATACTGGTCTGCGCCATCCTGAAAACAACAGACAGCAGCCTTGTGCCAAAACGGCTACGGATGAATATGCATGGCTATAGAAGTGAGGATGAGGATGATCATAACGAGAACGACAAAGACGGTGATGACGTGCATGGAAATAATGATCCTCACGGTACTCCCTCCTACTCCTCCTCTGGCTTTCCTCTCCTCAATCGTACCCCTTCTCACTCCTCCTCATCATCATCATCATCCAGGTCCAACCCCCTTTCTCCTCGGTCTTCCTGCTACACAGCATGATCCTGCTTCTCCTTTTTATTCTCATTCTTTCGATTCCCTACATGGGCGTTTCCCCCTTTCCCTCATGCTCCTACTCAGCAACAGCATCATCCTGATTCTTCTTCCTCCTCCTCCTCCTCCTCCTCCTCCTACATATCCTCCTTTTCCCTCCCATCCTCGTCCAAATCCTACCCCTTGTCAATACTGCCTCGTCTGTCTACTCCTCCCTCCTCCTCCTCTCCCTCCTCCTTCTCAAGAAGATTCTGAACCTCAGCCTCGAAAGTCGTTGCTGAGGATTGCTCGCACTAGAACTGGGACCCTCGTACTCTCACCATCATCATCAACACGAACATCATCACCAACATCGTCGTCAGCAGCAACAGCCTTATCATCGTCATCATTAACAACAGCATCATAATCATCATCAGCGACGGCAGCTGCCTCATCCGCATCATCATAATCATCATCAACAGCAGCATTGTTATACTCGTCATCACGGTGAGCATCGTTTGCGTGGTCGTTGCGGCCATCATCAGCATCAGCATCACCATCATCATCATCATCAGCATCATCATCATCATCAGCATCAGCATCATCATCATCAACACCATCGTCATCATCATCATCATCAACATCATCCTCATCATCATCACCACCATCATCATCATTCTCATCACCATCATCATTCTCATCATCATCATCATCATCATCATCATCATCATCATCATCAACATCAGCATATGCATCAACATCATCATCATCAACAGCAGCAGTAGCAGCAGCATCATCATCATAATCAGCAGCAGCCGCATCAGCATCAACATCACACTCCTCATCAGCACTATCATTATCACCAGCATAGCCATCATCATGAGCATCATCAACACCACCATCATCATCGCCACCATCAGCATCATCTACGTCGTCATCGCCATGAACCAATATCATCATCATCAGCAGCATCATCGTCAGCAGCATCAGCATCATAATCAGCATCAGCATCCCCACGATCGTCAATATTAATTACCCTAATCGTCAGCCTCATCATCAGCATGATCATCAGCAGCATCAGCACCATTAGCAGCATTGTCATCAGCAGAATCATCATCAGCATCGACATCATCCTCATCCCCATCATCATCAGCAGCAGTATCAGCATAACCATCATCATCATCATCATCATCGTCACCGTCATCCTCATCATCGATAGCATCATCCTGATCATCGTCCTCATCATCGTCGCCGTCATCATCATCATCATCATCATCATCAGCATCATCATCATCATCATCATCATCATCATCATCATCATCATCATCATCATCATCATCCACAACACAATCATCATCCGCTGCATCGTCAGCAGCACCATCACCGTCCATCATCATAATCAGCATCATCATCATCATCATCATGGGCATCATCAGCACCATCACATCATCATCATCATCATCATCATCATCATCATCATCATCATCATCATCATCATCATCATCATCATCGCCGTCATGGTCATCATCATCATCATCATCATCATCATCATCAGCATCAGCATCAGCATCTTCATCATCAGCATCATCATGTTCATTCACAACGTCCCACTCGTTTCATGTTTGTCCCGGCCCTCCCCCTTGTCCCCCTCTCCTTCTCTTGTTCCTCCCAACCCTCCTCCCCCTCGCTGGCCCCACCTTGGAGATGAGGTTAAGAAGAGGGAATCTATGAACAGATCGGGAATCTCTGAATCATGCGCCACGGCCGTTCCAGAGGGGGCTCCAGACCGCTCTAAGAGCACTCCGAAACGCTCTGGAACAATTATCCTGATCCTAGAATTGCCTGATCTTTCCCCTCTCGTGCTCCTTCTCGTCCACCACCTCCTCCTCCTCCTCCTCCGCCGTCTCATTTTCCTCAGCCGTTGTCCCTCCTTCTTATCCTGCTCCTCCTCCCCATCTCCTGCTCCTCATCTCTGGACGCATCCCCCCCTCTCTTGGTCTTCCTCCTCCTCATGCTCCTCTTCCCCCTCCTTACCTCTTGCTCCTCTCTCCTCCTCGTGCTACTCCCCCTTTCGCTCTCTGGGGGGAGCCAACCTTCGCTCTCTGCGCTCCGGAGATGGCGTTGCGCAGCACCTGCCCAGCCGGCGAACGCAAGGAGGGATGGAGGGGAAGGCTCGCCCAGCGTGCGCAGGGGCTCCCTCTGCCCAGCCCCGGCCTGTCTTTAAGTCGGGCCTGTCTTTAAGTCGGGCCTGTCCCCCTACAGGGGGATTTTCAAAGAAAAATTAAAAATACCCCAAAAGTATTCCAATAAGGTCGAACAATATTCAAATAATAGTCCCCAGGCTATTTTTGGACTATTTTTGCACATTTTTTGTGTTTTTTGCTGGTTCGTCGAAAATCCCCCTGTAGGGGGACAGGCCCGACTTAAGCCTGTCTCTCATGCGCGAAGGAGGCGGGTCCAGGAGTCGAGCAAGTTGGGTCCAACAGTGGGAAAAGTGTGAGGTACCGGTAACCGACACCGCCACTCCCAGGACCTCTTCCATGGTGCGCTCTCACCAGGATTTCGAGGCGAACCCGACCGTGGCGACGAGTGCCTCCCAGGAGGCCCAGAAGGGCCAAACCGAGAGAAGGGTAGCGGGATGGACACCTTTCCCTCCTCGGAGGCAAGTGAGCATGACCACGAGAGGACACGATCCCAATCCCGAAATCGCTGATTAACCGAGGTTACGTGAATCGGCAGATGAATTGGGGGTATAACTTGCGTTCGCCGTTGCTCCCCGCGCAAAGCCCTACCCCGAAATCTATCCGCAAAAAATCGCAGGCAGCCTGTGTCTTGCAATGACGCTCGCGTTTTCGGGTTTGGGGGGTTGCTACGCCAGGGTCCAGGAGGAGCAGGGTTTCCTGAACTCCCTCCCCAAGAACAAATCCCAAGGAGCCTGTGTCTTCGTAGTGGCGCTCGCGTGTTCGGGTCTGCGGGATTGTCTAACGCAGGTGAGGCCCGGGCCCAGGTGGAGCAGGCTTCCCTGAACTCTCCCCCAACAGAATCGCAGGGAGCCTGCGCCTTGCAGTGGCGCTCGCGCCTTCGGGGCCGGGGGGCTGCTCCAAGTCAGTGAGGCCAGGGCCCAGAAGAGACGCAGGGCCTCCCGCAGCCCCGCGGGCGAAGAGCGATCTCCGCCGACCCCTCGTGGGACCCTCGGCGTGTGAGATCGATTCTTCCCCCAAAACAACCCCTCGCCTCCCCCCACCCCTCGCCTCCCCACCCCTCGCCTCCCTCCTCGCCCCCCCCCCGCCCTCCCCTCCCCCCTCGCCTCCCCCCCTCACCTCCCCCCCCTCGCCTCGAAACCGGAGACTCGACCCCCCCCCTCGCCTCCCACCCCCCCTCACAGGGAGGAGCAGGGGGCTTCATGAGCTCGGCGGGCCAAGAGCGGCACGAGAGGAACTCTCCCGCCCTCAGGGGTGCGATCCCCCCCGAGGGCGCTGGGAAGCTCGTGCCCCCCGGGGCGAAGAGCTGCCGACGCCCCGGGCAGGACGAAGCCAGGATGAGGACAAGATCGGGGGAGGAGAAATCGAGAATGTCTCAGATCTGGCGGCCCTGGAAGATCTCTCGGGCGCCGCGGCCTTCTCGGAGCGTTCCGGAACGCTCTGAGAGCGTTCCAGACCGGTCTGAAACGGATTCATCCTCGTCCTAGCCCCGTCCGACTGGGATTAGGTCGGGCATGTCCCCTACGAGCGGATCTTGGAGGAAAAATCAAAAATACTCAAAAATAAATGTTCAAAGAAGGATCAAAAGTACTATTCTTGAATATTCCTGTTGTAGAGGGACTCCCAGACTTAAGACTGGGAGAGGCGCCCACGATCGCAGAAGTGCTGATTTGACAACGAACTCTTGGCCCGCTCAATCTCTACGTCCCACCGTTTTCGCGGAATGAGAAAAAGGGAAACGAAAGATGGCATAAACCAAAAAACGCATAGGTCCGCGCGGACTCCTCGGATCCGGGCTAAACCGCCCTGGCGGCGCCTCCGGCGCTGCCCCCGGCGCGATCCGCGCGCCAGGGAAGGGGGTCCAGCGCGGATCCAAGAAATCCGCGCGGACCTAACAAGCCTCGAACTGATCCCTATCCCTGAGATGGGCAAGCCAAAGCGATGACAATGTTTTAGGGATAGGACTTCAGAAACGGAGAGAATCCTCAAGATCGGTATCGAAGTAAGGTGATGCCAAACACTGGGATAGGGAGATGTTTCAAACTGGTAAGGACCTCCGAGTTCTTTTGTTTCTGACATTTTTCTCGTTCCCCTGAAACAAGTTCCTGGAGGAGACGGGGCATGGAGAGGTTTCGGGTGGCCCTTTCGGGCCGCTCGCGGGGCCCTCTGGGAGGCAAACCCCGGGGGACGTGTGTGATTCGCGCCGGAATCCTCGTACGACACCATCACCGAGATCAGGATCGTCTGCCCTCGGTGGAGGCACATCGATCCGGCCCCGAATCGGGCCCCGGGGCCATCACGATCGGTCCAGTTCAAAAAGCTGCCGCAGAAAGATTGACCCTATAGAGCTCCAGTCGCGAAGTTACACCAATGCTGCACTTGTATCGAGCCGTCGGATCTTCAGAGGCTGGCAAATGCACCGGCATGACATTTCGTCCTCCCCCCTCCCCCCCATCCGCCGCCTTTGTGGGCAGAGGGATTTCGTCACGTGATGCGAGTTCCCCCCATCCCCACCGAGTCCCCCTTCACTTCCCCCGCTGTATATCCTCCTCCTACTCCTCCTCCGACTCGCAGCACGTGACGGAACCAAATCGCCGACTTTGCAAGCGACGATGGGCCGAAACGGCGTGCGAACGAGCCGTCAATCCCGCCTTCCGTGAAAAATCCACATCTTCCTGCTGGCTCTCCCCTGGTCCCCCCGCACGTGCGGCCCCCCCCTCCGCTCTTCACCCGAGACAAGGCTACCACGACCACCAGCTGGGGGGGGTGGCTGTCCCACCCTCTCGAGCTGGTGGCACCTCGTTCCAGGCATGCCGTTATGCAATGCCCCCAGAGAGTTCCTCGAAGGAGGTGCCACCAGCTCGAGGGGAGGGAGCGGCCACCCCCGCAGTTGGTGGTAGTGGTACGTTGGTCTCTCCTGAACTCTGCGTAGCCTATGTGCCGGTAGGCCTGCCGGAGTTTGAAGATAAAGAGCCTCGAAGTTCCCAGGAGAAGGACAGCTCTACCCACTCCAGACCGCGACGAGCGAATCGAAATGCCGTTACCTTCGCGCCCAAGGAGGAGGTCCAGTCCCGTCAACGAGAAGGGCCAGCTTCTCGTCCCGAGTCCCTCGTGAGAGCTCCCGGGGGCTCGGGGAGGGCCCAGGGGGAGCCAACCACAAGCACCAAAAAGCACGCCTCGATTTGTTTACAGCGCGAGGCCTGGGTGATCGGATCCTACCTCGGGTCTCTGGCGGACGTTCGGGACGATCCGGGAACCCCCCAGAACCGCTCGCGACGAGGCAGTCCGAGGCTGGAGTTAGGTCGGGCGTCCCCCCTACAGGCGGATTTTGGATAACAAAAGGACAAAAAGTTGAAAAAAAAATGCTCAAAACTTGTAACAACAAGAAAAAAGAAAACGCTGAGAACTGACGGAGACGGCCCGAAACGCTCGATACAATAACCACTTTCCTCCTGAGCTCCAGTCCTCAAGGATACAGTCTTCTCATCGTCCGCACACCCCCTGCTCTGCTGCTACCATTTCCCCTGCTACTGGGCGAGGGCGGAGAGAGAGGAGGCAGGCAGGAGACGCGACGACGACGACGACGCTGGCGGTTGCCACCGATTCCCCATTAGCGCTTGCACTGCGCCACGCCGACCCTGCACTTGGGCGGACCCTGTGCCCCGGTAACGGCCGCTCCCTGGGGAAGGGGGCCCCAGGTCACCGTCACGCTCGGGCGGGTTGGCGGGGCACGTCGGGATGGGGGTGCGCTGCGATGGCCACATCGCATACGCGCGCGAGCACCAGCATGTCAGGGGGGGGCGTGTTCAGCCCCCACCCCCACGCACGATCGTCACCGCTACCCGGTGGAGGGGGGGGGGGGGGCGCGCGCGCGAGTTAACCTCCGCTGCGCACTCGTCTTCCGAGCTGCGCCCGGCCGTGGGGACGGAGGCCCCCCCCGCCCCCAAAGGCAGACTGCCGCTGTCTCAGCTCGCGCTACCCTCCTCCTCCTCCTCTCCCCTCCTCCTCCCCTCTTTCCTCCTCCGCCTCTCCTCTCTCTCCTCCCCTCCGCCTCCTCATCCGCCCCTCCTCCCTCCTCTCTCCTCCTCCTCTGCCCCTGCTCTTCCTCCTCTCCAAATTCGCTCCTCGCTCCGTCCCCTCTCCTCGTTTTCCTCCTCCTCGTCTCCTCTTCCCTCTCCTCCTCTCTCCTCCTCCTCCTCCTCCTCCTCCTCCTCCTCCTCCTCCTCCCTCCTCCTCTCCCCCTCCCCTCCTCCTCTCCTCCTCCTCATGCCTCCTCCTCCTCCTCCTCCTACTCAGGCTCCTTCTCTCCTCCTCGTTCTCTCTCCTCCACCGCCTCCTCCTCCTCATCTCCTCCTCCTCCTCCTCCTCCTCCTCCTCCTCCTCCTCCTCTTGATAGTATTATGAGTGTTCGTAGTGTTTTCATTGTTACTATTAGTATGATGGTTATTATTATTGGTATTATTATTAGGTGTAGTATTATTCGTATTATTATTATTTATAGTATTATTATTAGTATTATTATTGTTATTATTAATATCATCATTATTATTAGTAGTAAAATTATTATTATTATCACAATTATTATCGTTGTAATCATTATTAATACGATCATCATCATTATTATTAGTATTATGATTCGGATTATTGTTAGCATTATTCGTATTATGATTAGTATTAAGATTATGAATGTGATTATTAGTATTACTAGTATTATGATTGTTATTATTACTGCTAGTATTAGTATGACTATTATTATTCGTATTCGTATTATTAGTAGTAGTAGTAATCGTATTATTGTTATTATTAATACTGTTATTATCAATGTTATCATTCGTAGTATTATTATTATTATGATTAGTAGTATGATGATCAGTAGTATGATTAAGAATATTATCATTATTGTTATTATTGATATTATTATGATTTCGTAG